GTAGGGTTTGTCTCCAGTGTGTTTGGCCATGTGCCGGTCTAAATCGCTTTTCCGTGCAGCAGAATAGTCACACTGGTCACATTTGTAGGGTTTCTCACCTGTGTGTTTTCTCATATGTACAGTTAGATGGGACCTATCAGCTGTCCTGTATCCACACTCCCCACACATGTAGGGTTTGTCTCCAGTGTGTTTAGCCATGTGTTTGTCTAAATCGCCTTTTTGTGCAGTAGAATAGTCACACCGGTCACACTTGTAGCGTTTTTCTCCTGTATGCTTTTTCATATGCTTGGATAGGCTAGACCTGTCAGCCGTCCTAAAACCGCACTCCCCACACATGTGGGGTTTGTCTCCGGTGTGTTTAGCCACGTGCCGGTCTAAATCGTCTTTCCGTGCAGCAGAATAGTCACACTGGTCACATTTGTAGGGTTTCTCACCTGTGTGCCTTCTCATATGCACGGTTAGGTGAGGCCTGTCAGCTGTCCTATATCCACACTTCTCACACATGTAGGGTTTGTCTCCAGTGTGTTTAGACATAGTACCTTTCACCACAGGCCAGTCCGTCTGCTCTGTTTGACTCTGTACGGAAGGCTGGGCAGAGTTTAACCCGTGCGTTTCCTCCGATAGAATGTCCTCTTCCTTGTCCTACTGTCCTCCCGTGTCTGTTGCCGGGTCCTCGCTGCTGCTTGTCTCGTTCCCAGGGTGCACAGTTGGCATCTCGTCCACAGGAATCTCACTGCTTTTTCGGTCCATAATGTTCTTAGAACTAAAACAAAATATATTATTTGGAAGTTGAAGGATAAAAAAAACGTTTTTGTAGTACTCAAGTCTATATTATCATAACTCTAGGAACACCAGTAGGTCCGTTAAGGCCAGTAGTCATTCACATTAGAAAATCATGGAGTATCCTTTGTCTATCAGCAACATAATACATGTATATCCGATGTGCCCCCCTCCCCATGTATACCTTAGACAATTCACGCGTCACGATTTGAAGTATCTGCTGCGGTACCGCGACACATCGAGTGTAGGAGGTACACAAAGGTCTTACCTGTCTTTCAAAACTGCCCAGAGTAGGTTTAGAGCCGAAGTCAGTTGGAAATCGCCTCAGATTGGAGAGAAATGACACCCCTCGTACGGCTCAAAATGGCGGACAAGCGTAATCAAAGGTCAAATCATACAGATGGGGCAAAGGTCAAAGTTGACAAACCTAATTACCCAGATTCAGGATTTTGTTGTCACGCACGTCTTGCATGATATATTGCTCTTTTCTCTGCTCTATCAGTTTGAACAACTGTTTCTGCTGCATTTGCTACAATTGTAGTAGTATATGTTCGAAGAAAAAGACCACTATAAGAAGATGCTTGCAAAGTGGATGTTACAATTGTGATGATCAATAGTTAAGAGATATGTGTATATATCAGCTTATTTCACAACGTGAGCGAATTGACTAAAAACAGATATGTACAAGCAGTTTGAAACGGTTTCAGCACCTTTATTTCGTTTTGTACTATAACATCTAAATCTAAGGATTTTACGGCATTTTCTATCGTTTAAGTACATGTATTAGACTAAGTATTATAATGATTAGTACTAGGGTATCAATTATTCTTTATCACGTACTTAATATAAAATACGTGCATGTACCTAGTATGTATATACGTATATAGTTAGTATTAGCTACGTGATACAGTACGATGAAGTCTAAAGATATGACCAAACAACGAACAACAAGACAGACCAAATGTCATAACAACTGTATGACTAATACTATGAGTACGGTGTATTTAATTATCGTTAGTTTTCGCGCAAGACTAGCCACAGCACAGAAGCTAACACTGGCCTCTACACAAAACCCTCTAACAATACTAGCCAACGAAGACATGGTGGGAACTTCTGCATTCTAACTTATATATATATACATTTGTACACATTTAAGGCGTTTCACCAGTGTACTTTGCTAGGTGGCGAACTAAATTTACTTTCCGTGATATGGAATATCCGCAGTGGTCACACTTGTAGGTTTTTTTTCACCCATATGCCTTCCCATATGTATGGAAGGGTTGCTGCTCTGAGCTGACCTGTTACCAGTGTGTTTAGCCATGTTTCGGCACCAATGTATATTCCGTGTAGCAGCGTAGTCGCACTGGCCACAGATTTAGGGTTTCTCACCACCATGCGTAGCTATGTGTCGTTGTAAAGACCTCTTAAGCGCAGCAGAATAGTGACACTGATCGCACTTGTAGGGATTTTCTCCTGTTTGTTTTCTCATAGGCACAGTTAGGTTTGATCTATCAGCCGTCCTAAAGCCAAACTCCCCACACATGTAGGGTTTGTCTCATGTATGTTTAGTCATGTGTCGGTCTAAAAGACCTTTCTGTGCAGCAGAATAGTCACACTGGTCACATTTGTAGGGTTTTACCCCTGTATGTTTTCTCATATGTATGGTTAGGCTAGACCTTTCAGCCGTCCTGTATCCGCACTCCCCACACATGTAGGGTTTTTCTCCGGTATGTTTATACACGTGTTTGTCTAAATTGCTTTTATGTGCAGTAGAATAATCACACTGGTCACATTTGTAGGGTCTTTCCCCAGTATGCTTTTTCATATGCGTGGATAAGGCAGACTTGTATCCTGTCCTGAATCCGCACTCCCCACACATGTAGGGTTTTTCTCCAGTGTGTTTAGTCATGTGTCTGTCTAAATGAACTTTCTGTGCAGCAGAAAAGTCACACTGGCCACATTTGTAGGGTTTTTCCCCAGTATGTTTTCTCATATGTCTAGTTAGGGTAGTCCTGTCAGACATCCTAAAGCCGCACTCCCCGCACATGTAGGGTTTGTCTCCGGTATGTTTAATCATGTGCCTATTCAAATCGCCTTTCCCTGCAGCAGAATAGTCGCACTTTTCACATTTGTAGGGTTTCTCACCTGTATGTTTTCTCATATGCACGGTTAGGTTAGACCTGTTAGCTGTCCTGAATCCACACTCCCCACACATGTAGGGTTTGTCTCCAGTGTGTTTAGCCGTGTGTGTGTATAAATGGCATTTTTGTGTAGCAGAATAGTCACACTGGTCACATTTGTAGCGATTGTCCACAGTACCCTTCACCACAGGCCCGTCCGTCTGCTCTGTTTGACTCTGTACGGGAGGATGGACAGAGTTTACCCCGTACGTTTCCTCCGATAGAATGTCCTCTTCCTTGTCCTGCTGTCCTCCCGTGTCTGTTGCCGGGTCCTCGCTGCTGCTTGTCTCGTTCCCAGGGTACACAGTTGCCATCTCGTCCACAGGAATCTCACAGCTTCTCCAGTTCATCATTTTCTTAGAACGAAAACAAAATATTCGAAGTTGAAGGATAAAAAAAAAAAAGGTTTTCAACATATAGTTCCAATGTCTATATTATCATAACTCTAGGAACACCTTCGCCAGTATGTCCGTTAAGGCCAGTAGTCATTCACATTAGAAAATCATGGAGTATCCTTTGTCTATCAGCAACATAATACATGTACAGTATATCCGATGTGCCCCCCTCCCCATGTATACCTTAGATAATTCACGCGTCACGATTTGAAGTATCTGCTGCGGTACCGCGACACAGCGAGTGTAGGAGGTATACAAAGGTCTTACCTGTCTTTTAAAACTGCCCAGAGTAGGTTTAGAGCCGAAGTAAGTTGGAAATCGCCTCAGATTGGAGAGAAATGACACCCTCGCACGGGTCAAAATGGCGGACAAGCGTAATCAAAGGTCAAACCATACGGATGGGGCAAAGGTCAAAGTTGAAAAACCTGATTACCCAGATCCAGGATTTTGTCGTTACGGACGTCTTGCATGATATATTGCTCTTTTCTCTGCTCTATCAGTTTGAACAACTGTTTCTGCTGCATTTGCTACAATTGTAGCAGTACATGTTCGAAGAAAAAGACGACTATAAGAAGATGTTTGCAAAGTGGATGTTACAATTGTGATGATGAATAGTTACGAGACATGTGTATATATCAGCTTATTTCACAACATGAGCGAATTGAATATAAAGATGTAAATATAAAGATGTAAAGATGTACATGGGGCTAGGTAAGGTAAGGTAAGGTACAAGCAGCTTGAAATGGTTGCAGTACCTTTATTTCTTTTCGCACAATAATACAATATGTAATGTATCTAAACCTAAGTCTATTTTTAAAAGAACTACTTGACAATGGGAAGGAGTGGGGTTTTTTTTAGCATTAGTATTATTTATTATTAGTGCTATTGCATCAATACTTCTTTATCGCTTACTGAATGTACCATAAGTATTCCGGTAACCTGTCCATAGAATACTAATAATGTACAAAAGAATACGAGTAACAGATCTATAATACACGTACGTAATGTACAACATTATCAACACATCAACTACCATAATTCTTAGCATCTACAGTGACATAAAGAAACTTTAAACTTGATAACAAACATATCGGTCACTCTGACACACAATTCCTGGAAACACAGGGTTTGTCAAGTTTAAATGTTTAACCATCTGAAGATCTAGAATTTTAAATGCTGACGAATCATCAACTCTGTTTCCTTGTAACACTTTTTTTTACCTGTATCTTCGACTAAAAGTCAGTTCCAAACTAGTTGGTTGACTTCTTTCCTGTATTGTTATTCATATGCGGGACACAGTAGATACTTTTACCATCCGCACTACCCTAATATACGAGGTTTGTCAGCGGCGTGTTAAGCCATGTGTTTGTATAAAGTACAGCACTGAAAGTCGCACTGGCCACACTGGTAAGGGTTTATTTATCGTTAGTGTGTGTAGCCATGTGTTCGTCAAAATGCCTATTGCGTGCAGCAGAATAGTCCCACTGCTCACATCGGTATAATCAATGTCATGTATGTTTTTTCATATGCTTGGATAGGTAAGACCTGTCAGCCGTCCTGGATGTGCACTTCTCACACAT